CCTTTGACTGTTCAAAAATGTTGCATCACATGTAGCTTTAAAAGTGCTTGAGCTAGAGTTAAGAAACTTAATAAGAAATGTTGATCAGCATCTGAAGTTGTGCAACTGGAGTTTTTTATGTGGATTAATTCAGTTTTGTTAGTTATTGCCCTTGACTTAGTAAAATTTTGCAATTTTCAGATTGTGTGATGCAAAGCTTAAAAAGTATTTGACCTAGAGTCATAATACTTGTATCATGCGTAGACCAAAAAGTTCTTAACCTAGAGTCATGAAACTTTATAGGAATGTTGGTAAACATGTTTAGGGATAGGGGGAGTCACCATAATTATCCCCCGCCGATGGAATCGTTTTGGCGTTGTCCGTCCGTCCTTCCGTCCGTCCGTCCTTCCGTCCGTCCGTCCGTCCGAATTTCGTTTCCGGAGTAGTTCTCTGCAACTAATGGCTGGAATTCAACGAAACTTTATGGGAATGTTGATCAGCATGTGAAGTTGTGCACCTGGGTATTTTCGTCTGGATATTTTTAGTATTTTTAGAGTTATTGCCCTTGACTTAGAATTTCGTTTCCGGAGTAGTTCTCTGCAACTAATGGCTGGAATTCAACGAAACTTTATGGGAATGTTGATTAGCATGTGAAGTTGTGCACCTGGGTATTTTCGTCTGGATATTTTTAGTATTTTTAGAGTTATTGCCCTTGACTTAGTAAAATTTTGTCATTTTCAACTTGTGTCGCATGTAACTCAAAAAGTATTTGACCTAGAGTCATGAAACTTTACAGGAATGTTGATCAGTATGTGTAGTTGTGCACCTGGGTATTTTCGTCTGGATATTTTTAGTATTTTTAGAGTTATTGCCCTTGACTTAGTAAAATTTTGTCATTTTCAACTTGTGTCGCATGTAACTCAAAAAGTATTTGACCTAGAGTCATGAAACTTTACAGGAATGTTGATCAGTATGTGTAGTTGTGCACCTGGGTATTTTCGTCTGGATATTTTTAGTAATTTTAGAGTTATTGCCCTTGACTTAGTAAAATTTTGCAATTTTCAACTTGTGTCGCATGTAACTCAAAAAGTATTTGACCTAGAGTCATGATACTTTACAGGAATGTTGATCAGCATGTGTAGTTGTGCACCTGGGTATTTTCGTCTGGATTCATTTAGTATTTTTAGAGTTATTGCCCTTGACTTAGAAAATGTTTGCAATTTTCAACATGTGTCGCATGTAACTCAGAAAGGATTTGACATAGAGTCATTAAACCTTATTGGAAAGTTGCTCAGCATATTTAGTTTGTTCCTAGGGTTTCGCTTGTGGATTTATCCAGTATTTGTAGAGTTATTTCCCTTGACTTAGTAAAAACTGTTTCATTATGTTGTTATTTGATCCTTGAGTGCTTGAGTTAGAATCGACCAACTTAACAGGAATAATGATCAACATCACTAAATTACAGGAATAATGATTCACCTCACTGTGAAGCTATGAACCTGGGACTTTGCATGTGGATTTTTTTCAGTTTTGTTAGAGTTATTGCCCTTGAATTACAGTAGTATAAATTTGCAATTTTCAACTTGGGGTTTGCTTGGGGATTTATTCAGTATTTGTAAAGTTCTTGCCCTTTACTTAGTAAAAAGATTTTTAGTTTTCAAAAAATATTTGACCTAGAGTCATAAGATTGACAGAACAGTGGCGCGGTGGGGGAACCCGTGTCCTATGGACACATTTCTAGTTTTTATTAAAGAAGAATTAAAATGATTTGTTACAATAACATTTAAAAATATTTGAAAATTGTGAGATCCCTTTTTGATGCCTTGAAAATGGCAATGAAGTCTAGAGATTAAGATGTTTTTACATCTAGGTGAGCTATTGTGATCCCCAACCGTCCGTCGTCTTGCGGCGTCAGCAAATTCTTTAAACAACATCTCCTCAGAAACAAATGACTGCACAGCAACCAAACTTTACAGGAATGATCCTAGCGTGGTCCCCTGCCAAAGTTGATCAAATGGTTCCGGTCTGTTGCATAAGTAGGTCACAGGGCCAGAAAAGGAGTTTCAAAAATGCAAAATTAAAAAATCTTGTCTGAAAGTACAAGGCCTAGAGCTTTGATATTTGGTATATTATATAACCTATAGGTCCTCTACCAAAATTGTTCAAATTTTAGCCCTGGGGTCAAAATTGGCCCCACTCCAGGGGGTCATAGATTTTCCTTATATGTATATAGTGAAAACTTTAAAATTCTTCTTGTTTGAAGGTACAAGGCTTCAAGTTCAAAGAATATTACAGTTTATGCCATGATTAATATATAAATAAAGCCTTATGTCTTCAGTTGTTGTGTTAATAATAACCAGTACTCGGCGGGGGATATAAATTCAACGAATTTGCTTGTTCATGTAGAATTTCCCTTGTCTGTCCATCTGTCATACTTTCCAGTTGTATGCCAGTAGACTGACACAATGACAAAACAGTGGAGTATGGGTGCATCCATGTCCTATGCACACATTTCTAGTTCTTGCAGCATTTATCCTGTTCTTTGAAACAATATTAGTGAAGAAAAAGCTAATTTATGAAAACAGTAATGCCAGCAAATTACTATTGTCAGTCATTTGATGTGTTTGGGATTTTTTCTTTTCTCAGTGCAAATTGTAATGAAAATTTTTATTCTGATTGCTTCCTTTTAGAATTTATTCAGTATGAAAATATGCTTTTTGCATTTAATAATAAGAAAAAGTCAGGTTTGTCTCCAGCTTGTAGGAAGTAAAGCTATTTGTGGGATATTTATCACATTTTATGATAGTTCTAGTTTAATTTTAATAGTGTGAAATTTTAAGTCAGTATTTTCTATTTGCAAAAAAAGATACATCTTCTTGGATAAAAATGTCTTAAATAATCTTGAAAATATCAATAACTTGCAATGATTCTACAACATATTAAAATGTATTATGTTCATGTAAATGTTTGCTTTAACAAAAAAAAAATATATAGCAATGTAAAATGAAGTGGCCATATATTACATTAAATCTTATATCAGTTTTAAAGTTAACTAAAATTTCTGGTTTGGCACTAAACAAATTATTCAATACACCCTGTGAGGCCATCCTTAAAATAATCACAATAAAGTGTCGCAATACACTAACAATATCTTCCAGGAATATAAGGACATACATATTTTTTTTAAAGACTGAATAAAGAAAAATAGCTCGCATGAAAATAATGAACAAGTGCGACTATTATTATATCTTTGTTATCTTGTTTCCCATGTCCGCAATCATTTAATCAACTAAGTTTTATTAATTCCATATGAATAGGCTGGTGTCCTTTGAACTTGTTTATGATAAAAAATAATTAGAGATTTATACGTGTTGAAGAAAAAAAACTTACAAACATGAATCTGTAATTTTATTTAGTTGCACTTGATGTCAGATTAAAATAGTGATAATGACAACATGCCTATGTGATATTCGTCACGTATTTATACCACAGGCACTAGTATCAGACCTGGGAAGAATTTTAACATGACCACATTGATAAAAAAAACTTTCGTGTTCATATAAAAGGTGTCAAAACCCGCCCCCAAAAAAAGAGAAAAAAAAGTGAAATATGAGCTCCCTTAAAAATATACTATAAGTTAACTCTTAACTTACAGTATATTTTTATAGGGGCTCATGTTTCACCTTTTTTTCTCTTTTTTTTTTTAGCTCACCAGAACAGAAGGTTCAGGGTGAGCTATCAGTATCATAGGGGGATGCTACGGAGTCCGTCGTCATGCGTCGGGAATCGTCTTCTTCTCTGAAACTGCTGGGCAGATTTGGTCTGTAGCATTCTCACACTTGAATTTGCTCATGTCATTTTAATTTGCCCCTTTTAGCGATCAACAGAGCTAAAAATAGAAAACTACTAGAAAATCTACTACAAAACTAATTGATAGATGATCACCAAACTTTAACTGTAGCCTTCTTGGGAAGTCTTATATCAAGTTTGCTCATATTAATTTGATTGACCCCTTTTAGGGGCTGCGCTAAAGTTAAAAATAGAAATACCTGTACAGAACTAATTGTTGGATGACCACCAAACTTTGTCTGTAGCATTCTTAGGTATGCTTTTATCAAGTTTGCTCATATAATTTGGATTGGCCCCCTTTCAGGGGCCACTAAAGCTAAAAATAGAAAAACCTTTGAACATCATTAATTTTCCTACTGTAATAATAGATAGATGATCACCAAACTTTATAGCATTCTTAGGTAGTCTGTTTTCAAGTTTGTTCATATTAATTTGATTGGCCCCGTTTAAGCTAAAGCTTAAATGCCCCAGGTCATGGCAATGCTTCAAGATATTCAATGCTCAATATCTTGCTTTTCTGATTGAAGAAAACATTGGATGGTTTTCTATGTTTCTGACAGCATTGTTTTAGGGTAAGGTAGATGCCAAGATAAAAACAACCAGTCTTTCGTAAGGTTGGTTGTAGATCAAGTTTCATTTCAAGACACTGTTCAGCAGCTTTATAACACCAGCTGCTGTATAGATGTGGCCATCTTACCTACCAAAAGTCTTAAGAACAATTTATATAGTACTGCAAAATTGGTATCTTTTGATTTTAATGAGAATTTCTTCATTGTGATTGCCAGCTGCCTGGTATATAGATTAACTAGATAACTAGAGTTAGGAATGAGGTATTGTAATCAAACTTGGTATATAGAAACTTTATGTGGAGACCATGGTTGGTATTGCATTTGGACCCTCTGGAGTCAAGGTCACCGATACTAAAAATAGAAAAATGGTTTCCGGACAATAACTAGAGTCAGGAATGAGATATTGTAATCAAACTTGGTGTATAGCAAGCTTATATGAAGTCCCCTTTACATTTGGACCCACTGGGGTCAAGTTAAAAGTCACCTTACTAATTAAATCTATAAATATCAGGATGGTCCGGTGAAATTTGACATTGCATATTTGCAGTATTATAAATATGTTTTGTAAACTAAACTTTCAGATTTATTTTTCTCGTATTTCAGGACTCCCAGAGAAGTTATATTTTGGCAATGGTTTAACCAGACGTTTAATGCATTAGTGAATTTCACAAACCGCAGTGGTGAACATCCTGTATCTCCAATGTAAGTCACGCCTTTTTTCAGTCACACCATTTTCCTGTCACGCCTTCTTTCTTTGTATGATTATTAATTGTAAAGGAATGTGTCCTTACGGCCAGATATTATGGTTTATTTATAATTTTCTTTTACCTTAAGCTCACTTTTTAAGTCTGACACCATATGGAACGATAGGTTTGCTGTCTGTTTCATAAGGTTGTTAAAGCTTGATAAATGACACTATCTGAGTTATATCGCAGAGGGAAAAAAGCTTTAAAAAAGAAAATTTTCCAATTCTAACCCACAATCCCTAGCACGAGATTCATTGGTGGCACTTTGAATTGATCTATTTCTGCCATCTGGTTTTACATAACCAAATGTGTTTACATTTTCATTCATTTCTAATAAAAGTTTATATTTTCTTAATCTGTCTTTTTTTTTGACATTTTTTGTAAATTATTTTTTGCTCCTTCTTTTGATTACCATAACAAATTTTTAGGTAACATGGCTGTGTACATATTGGTAAATTTTCTTGTGTCAAACATGGTCTCGGAAAATCTCGTGAAAGTATGAACTTGCTGGATGATAATTCTCAGGTGTATGAATTCACAGCCTCCTCTGCATTTAAATATAGCTCTGTGCCAATATGAAAATTATACCATGGGTCAGAGTTCTGGTTGTTGTAGGAAAGGAAATAATGAAAATAAAGCTTTGAAATTGAATCATGAATAACCTTAAAATTGTATAAGTTCTGTTGATAAAACTGGCTTTATGAATTGCTAATATGTAGAGGATATTTGTTTGTTTGTGTGTAAGATGAAATTTTATTTCATGGAGTGAGCTTTTAAAACAGTATTCTTATGAGTGGCGTATATAATTTGCACGGATAAATCAGTAATCCACTGAAAAGCATAAAATAATGAGATGTAATTAGTCATTGTGTACATTTAGCTTTATGGTTGCTATAGTAACTTTGTTTGACATGATATGCAGCTTCCTGTGTTTATATGAACCTCTCTGTCAACACTTTATATGGTATATATATATATTTATATGGTATATATTTGAATATTCCCTACCAGATAATTGAAAGCTTGTCTTTATTTGATTGCAGACATTTAGGAATATCATATTCACTGGCGACGACAGGCGCTGTTGGAACAGCTCTTACCATAAATAAACTAGTCAAGGTATGGGTTCATATATTTTTTAAACTTACTCATTTAACAGACAAGATTTAAACCTATGTGGTATTGATTCTTAGATTACTTGTTAAAAGCCATGCCGTATTTCATATAATTGAGCCGCGTCACGAAAACCCAAGGTAACGCGTTTGTAACCAGCATGGATCCAGACAAGCCTGCGCATCTGTGCAGTTTGATCAGGATCCATGCTGTTCCCTCACAAACCCTATAACAAGTAGAATAACTGATAGCGAACAGCATGGATCAAGATCAGACTGCGCGGATGCGCAGGCTGGTCTGGATCCATGCTGGTCGCAAACGTGTTATGTTGGTCTTGTCGTGACCCGGCTCATATTAATAGTTTAAGCAATGGTTTTGTTTTTTATTTTCAGAGATTCCCACCAATTATTGGACGATTTGTTCCATTTACAGCTGTTGCAGCAGCTAACTGTATAAATATACCATGTATGAGGAGTAGGTGAGAATTTTAGCTTGTTGAGGGTTTACCATTAATAACGGTTTGGTTTAAACATACTTATTTAAGCTTGATTGTGAAACAAGTTCTCGCAACTTATATTAATCACTTTCGAGTCAGCTTCCTGGAACCAACCAGGCAGTACTGGTGTCATATGAAGAAACATGGTCATGACCCAATTAGGGCTCAAACCCATGATCCCTGGGTTGAGAGGCAGAAACCATAACCACTAGGCCACCGCTCCCAATGATAATGGCAGGGTTTTTACGGTCTTGAAAAGGCCCTAAATTTTGATGGTTGTCGTGAAAAGGCCCTAAATTGCATGGCTGGCCCTGAAAAGCCCCTAAATTTGCACTGTTTGACCCTAAAATCTAAATGATTTACAAAGCAATTTAGAGCCTGAATAAATATCTTTTTCATAACATAATTATGATTCCGAATTTGAAATAATTAATGCAGCACAATGTTAAGTAACTTTAATATCAAAGTTAGGTATCAAAGTTAGAAAGGTCACTGGAGGTCACTTTAAAGGAATTAACTATTGTATGTTTACAAAGAACTACAAATCAGACGCTTGTTTATGTCATGAAAGTTAAGCATTAAATTTAGTGAAATCGACCCTGAAAAAGCCCTAAAAAGGCCCTAAATTTATGTATGAGAAGTCTGTATGAACCATGAATGGTAACAGAGCTTATCCAGGTTAACCTCTACAGCCGTGCAGTCTGACCAGACTCTTATTCTGTGGACTGTTAAATTTTGATATTGGGAACCCAGAAATTTTTTTTGGACTGTTACAATTACAATTTCAAAGGAGGACATGTTCATTGTGCTAGTTTAAATGTTGAGCTTGACGTTTCCTTTGTATATGAATTACCATGTACAGTTTAGATGATTTGTATTTAAACAGTCACCGTGTGAAGTCATTTAGTAGAAGTCTGTCTTATTTCTGTAGTTTTTTTTTGTCTAGTCAAAAGACATTTGAAATGCATTGTAACATATTCTTACTTTAAGTGTAGGATCAATAAATCAAACAATTGAAAATAATATAATTAAATTTTTAAAGGGAGAGCATAAGATCCAGATCTAAATTATAAGTTACTAATTGAATATAAACTTTGTATTTACAAAGGGAGATAATGCACGGTATTCCAATATTTGATGAGAATGGTAATCGTGTAGGTGATTCCACACATGCGGCTAGGTCAGCTATAGGTCAAGTTGTGTTTTCAAGAATTATGATGGCCACTCCAGGAATGAGTAAGTTTGTTTACAACAAAATGTAGCTGTTCCAGCAGCATTTTGTTTGTTGATTTTTAAATGCATTTAGTGTAACCTTCCTTTATTTGTTAAGGCTTCAAAACAATTCAATCAACCAAATATTAATGCACACTGGCTTACATTTTGTTATTCAGTGTCATAATGTTGTTTGGTGTAACTTTGTAATTATTATATATACTGTTGATTCATATTTGTTTCTAAGCTATTGCAGAAACTTATTTTTGTTATTTATTCAACATTACACATGTATATTTGTTTAACATGAAAATTATTTGTAATTAGAAAGGTATAATAATAATTATATCTTTTATTCCTCCAATATTAAAAGAGCATAAATAAATTGAATGTCATCAGTTAGCCCGCAAAATTTTCTGCTGTTTATCTTTATACTTTATTCATTAAGTTTGTTTGGCCTGCTTTGCTCAATAGAGAAAGCATTGGATTTATAACCAGGGGTCTCAGGTTGGATTGGGTGAGATTTCTCCATGCCTGTTGATCTCAATCTTTGAGTCCAATGGTCATTTCTCTCCTACCACAGTTCAAAAATCATGTGGTACATTTGTATTAGTAGTCAGTCAATTTTGGAGAAATTGGAAATTACTGGTTAGTTATCCAGACAGCAGGTTAGATGGTACCTCTAGATATGACCAAAAACTTTTAAAGGTGTGAAAATTGATGTTAAAACCAAACAAACAATGTTCAAGGCTGTTTATTTACGAAAACAAGCTCAAATCCATTTAGTATTTTAATAAATAAATGACGCTTTAGTGTGTACAGTGGTCCTTTCTGATAGCATTTACTCACTTCAATGGTCGGCTTTCAGATTTAAATAAAACTTGTTATTGATAATCGCAAAATTTCTATCACAAACCATCATGCAAAATGATAAAACCTCAAGAATTCTTGCTTAATTTGAATAGGCATTTAAAGTTACTGCAGCATGTTTTGTTACTATAAAGATGTGAAAAATATGTTAATATTTGTATTTTTCTTTTTTTTTCAGTGATACCACCAATCATCATGCAGAGCCTAGACAAAAAGCCATTTATGATTGTAAGTTTTTTTCTCCCTATTTTAACAGTTATACACACATAATAAATATTTAAAATTTTACTTTGAATGATTAAAGCACATATTATATACACATATTAAATAAGAGTTTGTTCCAATCTGATTAAAATTAGCTCCTAAATAATTGCTATGCCTAAGGGTCTGATGGTGACCAATAGGAGGTCACCTTATTGTGATCTTCCTATCAGCCAATCAGTGGCTGCTTTCCGGTATTCCATTGTTTGGAACCGTCACTTTCGGTTAAGAAATAAACATCTGTTGTATGAAACCAGTTAAGAACATTCCATTTTACATTCATCAGCGCTAAAAAAAAAAAGTTTGTTTCTCTTCAGGCAAGACCTTGGTTGAATGCTCCTATACAAGTTTTACTTGTAGGATTTTTGTAAGTATATTTACAAAAAGATTTGTACTGTATTCTTTCTTTCTTCTTCTGTGTTACATGTGAAATATAACAATGCTTTTTAACATTGTGATGTTTAAAAAAAGCTATATATTTTGTAGGACCGAGAACTCTTATCATTATTGTCCTCTTAAATTCAGCTTTTATGAGATAAAAAAATCTGATAAGAAACCACAAAAAACACCAGTTTAATGAAAGAATTTAGTTGGAGAACAAACAAGAATTATTGAAGACTGTGTTAGCTGAATAATACTTACTTTTGAAATACTTTCACATGCAACATTATGGGTGCCTGAGGCCAAGGATGTATGCTTCTCACCTGTTTAGGTTGAAGCCACGTGTATTCGGAATCTTTGATGTGAGAAAGTTATCTAGCTAGCTTATGGAACATCAGTGGTTCTACTCAGGTGCCTGTTTGTGCCGGAAATAATGCCTGTTATAAAGTCTTGCTCTGCAAGTAAAAGTGGAAAGTAGTGATATGACTTATTGTGTTGATGCCATGTAAAACCCAACAAAAAAAGCCCTAAAAACATGCAACATTACTTAAGTATTTGTAGATTTTGAAGTTTTCTCAAGTAAATTTTGAAATGCTTTATCAAAAGAATATTTGTATAGACTGACCAGTCACCAATGAATTATCATTCTGTTTTTATTTCAGCTTGGTGTTTGCCACCCCACTGTGTTGTGCACTATTTCCACAGAAGAGGTTAGGTTTAAAAGCAATTTTATTTATCCGTGTTTATATGTAATAGCGAAATATCATTTCCATAGGATGTAATGACTCAATTCTGTAGATTTTGTTTTTAAAATACATTTTCTTTCATATGGAACATGTATGAAGGCATATACATTCAAAATGTGTTAGATGTTAAAAAATTGCAAAATTTTGTCCGAAATTATACAATAAATCTATAAAACACATTACACCTTTTATGACACGAAAATGAGCGAAAGTAGGTTAGTGGTGAGAAAAATAATCCTAAAACATAACACTTGTTTGATGTAATAACTCATTTTTGCATGTTACCTCACAAAAAAAACACATTTTATTCGACATATATAATTCAAAAATGATTTATTTATTATTCAATGTGAACACATTTTATTTTCAGTTCCATGGCAGTTAAACACTTAGAACTTGATCTCCAAGAGAAAATCAGCAAACTACCTCATCCTGTAGAAAGGGTGTATTTCAACAAAGGGTTGTAAATCCATAGAAAAACATAACAATACTATCAACGCAACGATCTTCCAGGAGTGACAGTGTGGTGATAATGAAATTGTAAATGTGCGATAAAGACTTATATTTTTCACTGTCTGAGATATGCCATTCCTTCATCACTCTATTTTAACAATTCAGAATTGAAAGTACACTTTTATTAGAAATCCAGAGAATATTTTTTTATGACAAAAATCCTCCTGTTTAGACAAACAAATTGTTGAATTGAGATTGTAACAATGTACTTAACTGGCAAAAAATGCTGTTTTATTTTTGCCAACTTATTTGTTTTGTGAAGTTAAAGCTGCATTCCCTCCAGATGAGCCAAAATATTTCAAGAAAATCATACTTGAGAAAAATGTACTAAGATTTTATGAAAGGTAAAAAGATTCAAGATTTATGTAATGATTTAAAGACTGATTTTGCAGTATTCATCGCCATATTTTTACTGCGTGACTAATGCAGTAAGGTCTGTTTTTGCATACATAATTGTAACTGTCATTTGCGATGTCTAAATTGCTTTGTTCATCTTACTATATTTTACTTTTAAATACATTTTCAAAATGTCCATGAAAATTGGCATGAATATGGTGGCATGCTACTTTAAATTAGTGTAAATATGACTAGAACTATTATTTGAGCCGCGCCATGACAAAACCAACATAGTGTGTTTTTGACCAGAATGGATCTAGACCAGCCTGCGCAGGCTGGTTGGATCCATGGTGGTCGAAAAACCCATTATGTTGGTTTTGTCATGGCACGGCTCATTTAACTTTTCAACTTACTATTAAAAGTGAAGTTCTACAAGGCAGACCACTTTGAACCTATCAATACTAGACTCAATTGTTAAATATAGACCAAAAATCCACTACTATCAAATATTGACAATTTTTAACCCCTAAGCCCGCTGGTGGTGGCAAATAATTCTACCCATATGACCAGTGCAGACAGAGATCAAAAGGCACAATCCTGCCATCTAATCATGGTTTGCACTGTTGGCTAGTCAATATTAGAAAATTCCACTTAAATTGATGAATGGTTGGAGAGTGAAAGATGGACAAGTCTATTTAAAATATTTAGAATGGTAATTGTTAAAATGATTGTTTTGTGTGGTTGTGCTATCAGATGCATATGTATATACAGAAAGTGACAAAGTTTCATGATATACAAGCAATTTATGAATTAAAATTAAGTGAATAACTTTAGAAGGAATTATGGTACGCAATACTAGTAATAGTACAAACAATACTAGTTATACATGCAGTACAATGTTATTTACAGAATGGATTATACCGTTTTGGTGTTTTTCCCTAGTCATTTCCCGGCAGGCATTACATATTGGGCCAAAATTGGGACAATATGATATTTTGAATATTGCTGAAAAAGTAGTTTAGTAAATTTTCCCACTACTGACTTAAAAATGATATTAGTGTGTGATTTGATAGATAATCGCTGATGGAGAGAATATTAGTGTGATTTGATAATCACTTATAGAGATAATATAAGTGTGATTTGATAGATAATCGCTTACAGAGAGACCAATATTCCTTCATTAGTCCGATACAAGTCCAATATGTGACATGTCCAATATGTGAAAGCTAGCTGGGTAAAACCTGAAAGGTTTACATCTAAATGTCTCTTGATGCTGGCAGGAACAGCATTCATGCCGTGTGTGGTTATTTTGTATATTTTGTGTTTTTTTTCTACAGCTGTTTATAATGTTTCAAGAATATTGCATGAAATTTTAATAACAAATTTTTAAGTGCTACTAGAGCATGTGTTAGACCTCTAACCATAAAAAAGTTGACTCAAAATATGCTGTGTCATATATGTTTTTAACTTTTTTAGCTTGTCTGTTTCAAAGAAACAGTTGAAAAAATTATTAATGCTGCGTTGTCATTGTTGTTTTGCAAAAACTCTTAATATCCCATAATTCCAACTTTTTAAAAAGGTACATATATAAGCACCAAATTTGAAATACTTGCTTATCATTACGATGGCATTGCAATGTAAGACAATGGGCATTATCGTAAAAGCAATATTTTGAGGAATTATGTCTCTTTTTGACTTACAATTTTTGTTAAAATTGGTTATTGGTTGGGGTTGATCATAACAGACGAGTGTTGACACTGCATGCAGTGCTCTTGTTTTTTGTCTTGACAATGTTAGATGGAAATGAGTGAAGTGATCTGTTATATTCAGATATCAATTTTTTTCTATATACATTTTATTTAAAGGGACTCCACTGAGGTTTTTTGACATGATGGGACTGAAAATATTTTTACCAGATAAATGTACCATTTGCTGTAGGTTTAGACCACTAATCTTTGTGCAAAATTTCAGAACAATCGCGCATTTCGTTTTTCCAGAATAATTATTTAAATTTAAAAAAATGACCCAAACTGAAAAGCGTTAACGCTTTTCACTCAAATCGGGCTATGAAAAGTATAAAAATACGATTTTCAATTTATATCACAGTATATTTCTTAACTATCTTTGCATATATTTTTGTTTAAAGTGCCCCAGCTCATTTATGTAAGAAATTCAAATGTTATGTTTTTAGGCTTTTAAACCTCAGTGGAGTCCCTTATATCCCTTGGCTTTCTTATGATTTTTTTTTGTTTTTGTTAAAATTTTGTGTAAGAAAAAAGGTGTCATTTTTGTACAAGGTCTGGTAATATTGGTTAATATACTTGTACATGTATATATATATTAAAATTGTATTGCTATAGTTTTAAAGTAAGTCCTGGTTTAAAACCAGAGATATTTTATTTTATTTGGTGCTGCATGTTATCAGGCCAGTGATCCTACCCTTATACTGGAATTAAGTTTACATTATATGTATGATAAATATGTGCTGAACATTTTCATGTGGCCTGTCACAAATTTTGAAGAGTGGTTATTTTTGATGTTTTCTTTTTAAGATTATTATCTTTGCTAATGCAGATATAACATATTCAGAATTTTGATCAACAGAATTATTTTGCTGATATTTCTTAAATTTTGATGTATATTTTTCACTTTTGCTTTGAAAATTGCTTTAAAAGTCCCGGTGAAAAAAAAGTTAAGAAGCCATTGAATAAAACCTATAAACACATATTTATCAAAACATGGTTTGGTCTTGAAATAGAATTATTGCTGTGCTAAAAATGACATAATTCTCTCATTGTACTTGGAGAAATGTTTTCTTTGTACAAAGTGATAATTAAAAAATATATTAGAATCAGAAAATGTACATGTATACAAAATCACTTAACAATGACATTTGAGGCGCGCCATGACTAAACCAACATAAAGTGTTTGCAACCAGCATTGATCAAGACCAGCCTGCGCATCCGTGCAGTCTGATCAGGATCCATGCTGTTTGTTATCAGTTCCTCTACTTGTAATAGGGTCATGGATCCTGATCAGACTGCACAAATCTGGATCCATGCTGGTCGCAAACACATTTGGTTTTGTCATGGTGCTTGGTTTTGTCATGGCGTGGCTCAAATTTTGTAAAGACAATCGCACACTTGTGTCATACATCAATATACTAGTTTTGGTGTGATATTTGACTTGTCACTCTAATTAATTCTTATTTGCAAGTTGTTAAAGAGTTATTTTCATTTTCTTTTATAAAATGTTGTGTTGATGAAGGAAAAAAAACACAAAAAAACCCACTTAAATACGTTTTGGTTAGATTTTAACTGGCGTCAACTTTGCATATGGCAACTTCACAGCTTTACTGGTTTTCCATTCCCCACACCCTGGATTTCACTGATTACCCTTTTTTCCCAATATGAGGGGACATGTAGATTAAATAACCAACCTTCTGTTAGGTATTTGTGTAATTTTTCTCGTTAGGTATTTGTGTAATTTTTCTCGTTAGGTATTTGTGTAATTTTTCTCGTATAAAAGAATTTATTGACCCTTGTGAGATCCGATCCGTTAGTGATGAGCAACACCTTTTTGGGATACTTTTGTAAAATGAAGAATTCAGCATTTATTCAAAACAAATGTAAGCATTCCATTTTGTGTGATCCAGAGATAGTAAATCATATCATGTAACGCATATGTTAATAAATTAACCATATTTTTGTTCATTGGAAAGTTGTAAGATTTTTACATTTTAGTATTTCATAACTAAAGAAATTTTGTTAATATAACATCAAAATAGCTTCAATAAATTTTTAATTCATAATATTGTTCAAACTTGATTATTCAGATGTCCATTAAGTGTTTAGTTAAGCTTTTCTAAAGAGATTGCATAAAAAGAAAGAATAAGATTTGTGTTATTTGAATAAACTCGGCAGATACGGTGTTTTCAAATCTTATCCATGGTACAAACAAACTTTTATCAATACAGATTCACAGGGCCGTAAACTACTGATCTGTTGATCCATTGATCATCGTGTTGCTTTTATTTTTCTTACATTTACCTTTGATAGCGCAATTCAATCAAGTTGTAAAAGTTTGTTTGTACCGTGCAAGATCTGGAAACATCCGAAAATATTCGTAATTCCGAAGCAATCTATTGTTCAATGTAGTGATGCATTGACAAAGATACTGTATATGTATGGATATCATTTCATATGATTTATAGCACAGTTATATAAATAATGCATCAAGACATCATATTGTTGTTTTTATTTGAACCTATATTAGTCCCCTTTGAAGTAATGTTTTTCATTTAAAGTGGCACTCCTACAATATTCATAAAATAATTCTTTAAATTGGAATATCGAACATTTGCGCATCCTCCCAATCTGATCAGGATCCATGCTGTTCGCTAACAAACCCTATTAAAAGTAGAGAAACTGATAGCGAACAGCATGAATCCTGATCAGACTGGTCTGGAGACATGCTGGTGCAAACCCACTGTGTTGGTTTTTACGTGGGGCGGCTCATTATACCACCGCCCTACAAAGTTGTAAGGGGGGTATACTGGAATCAGGTTGTCCGGCTCTCCGTCAGTTTTTTCTTGTCCGCCCAATAACTTAAGATTCCTTTGACCTACAGTCTTCATATTTGGCATGGAGGTCAGTCATGATTAGTAGATGACCCATATTGATTTTGAGGTCACCAGGTCAAAGGTCAAGGTCACAAGGGCCTTGACTTCAAAAAGATTGTCCCCCCAATAACTTAAGATTGCTTTGACCCATAGTCTTCATATTTGGCATTGAGGTTAGTCATGATTAGTAGATGACCCCTATTTACTTTGAGGTCATCAGGTGAAAGGTCAAGGTCACAGGGGCCTTGACTCCAAAAAGCTTGTCCGCTCAATAACTTAAGATTCCTTTGACCCTAAGTCTTCATATTTGGCATGGAGGTTAGTCATGATAAGTAGATGACCCCTATTGACTTTGAGGTCAAAGGTCAAGGTCACAGGGGCCTTGACTTCAAAAAGCTTGTCCACCAAATAACTTAATATTCCTTTGACCCACAGTCTTCATATTTGGCATGGAGGTTAGTCATGATTAGTAGATGACCCCTATTGACTTTGAGGTCAAAGGTCAAGGTCACAGGGGCCTTGACTTCAAAAAGCTTGTCCGCCAAATAACTTAATATGCCTTGGACCCACAGTCTTCATATTTGGCATGGAGGTTAGTCATGATTAGTAGATGACCCCTATTTATCTTGAGGTTACCAGGTCAAAGGTCAAGGTCAGAGGGGCCTTGACTTCAAAAAGTTTGTCCGCCCAATAACTTAAGATTGCTTTAACCCACAGTCTTCATATTTGGCATGGAGGTTAGTCATGATTAGTAGATGACCCTATTAACTTTGCCCCATTGATTTGAGGTCACCAGGTCAAAGGTCACAGGGGCCCTGACTTCAAAAAGCTTGTCCGCCCAATAAGTAAAGATTATTTTGACCCATAGTCTTCATATTTGGCATTGAAGTTAGTCATGATTAGTAGATGACCCCTATTGACTTTGAGGTCACCAGGTCAAAGGTCAAGGTCACAGGGGCCTTGACTTCAAAAAGCTTGTCCGCTCAATAATTTAATATTCCTTTGACCCACAGTATTCATATTTGGCATGGAGGTTAGTCATGATTAGTAGATGACCCATATTGTCGTTGAGGTCACCAGGTCAAAGGTCACAGGGGCCTTGACTTCAAAAAGCTTGTCCGCCAAATAGCTTAATATTCCTTCGACCCACAGTCTTCATATTTGGCATGGAAGTTAGTCATGATTAGTAGATGACCCCTATTGACTTTGAGGTCACCAGGTCAAAGGTCAAAGTCAGTGCCTTGACTTTAAAAGCTTGTACGCCCAATAACTTAAGATTCCTTTGACCCACAGTCTTCATATTTGGCATGGAGGTTAGTCATGATTAGTAGATGACCCCTATTTATTTTTACGTTACCAGGTCAAAGGTCAAGGTCACAGGGGCCTTGACTTCAAAAAGCTTGTCCGCCCAATAACTTAAGATTCCTTTGACCCACAGTCTCCATATTTTGCATGGAGGTAAGTCATGATTAGTAGATGATCCCTATTGACTTTGAGGTCAAAGGTCATGTTCACAGGGGCCTTGACTTCAAAAGCTTGTCTGCCGAATAACTTAAGATTACTTTGACCCACAGTCTTCATATTTGGCATGGAGGTTAGTCATGATTAGTAGATGACCTCTTTTGATTTAAAGGTCACTGGATTAAAGGTCAAGGTCACAGGGACTTTGACTTCAAAAAGTTTGTCCACCCATTAACTTAAGATTCCTTTGACCCACAGTCTTCATATTTGACATGGATGTTGATCATGACCATAAGGTGACCCCTATTGATTTTGAGGTCACTGGGTCAAAGGTCAAGGTCACAGGGACCTTGACAAAAAAGCTTTTCTTCTCAATTGCTAAAGAATGCCTGTCCGCAGTGTATTGATTTTGACATTTTCATGTCGAATACATAACTTAGCAATGCACTGGCTTAGTAACCTCAGATTTGGCAGGGGGGGGGGGGTTGTCCTTGAGCTCTAAATGGCCACTGTTAATTCTGACAAAGTGGTATGCGGGGGTATTCACGCCATGATGGTGGCAGTTCTAGTTTATAGTTTAAGAAATGTTTTAATGTGAAACTGTGTATGTGCAAGTATCATGCAAATTATGGAAGCATTTACTGTTACCAAATTTCTGTATATTTTGATAGGTCATAGGTAATTTCTGTGAAAAGTAATTGGCTTAGGCTACGTGAAACTAAAAACTGTGATTTGAATACAGGTCAGTGTAGGGTTTGTCTTGGCAAGCAATGATATTGCTCTCATATTTTCTGCAGCTCACTGTTACCCGAGCTGATTTCGTTGAGTTGTTCCTCTTTGGACATTCAACAATATCGGGCAGGCCCTAGCTATAGTGAGGAGGTAAATAGAGGCTCGCGGGGCTTGCGGCATTTTTTCAAAAACATATTTGCAGGCACTTGTTTTAAGCTCCACTTTTTGATAAAAAGCTGAGCTATTGTCATGACCGTCTCCTCGGCTTTGTCGTCGGTGTTGGTGTTAACCTTTTTGGTAAGGTCCATTTTCTCAGAAACTGTAATAGATTTTCTTCAAACTTGGTATACATGTTAATTTTTTATCAAGGACGCTATTTCAAAAGTGCAAAATGAGAGCTAAAAATACTATTTACTTTTATGTTATTTTGCCATTATATTCAACAACAACAAAAAAGCTCCAAAACAACCTGATTAGTTTCACTTTAGACATTAAATAAACATCTAACCCTATGTAATGGTATACTTTTTTAATCATATCTTTTTTGATACAAACAATTATTTGTAATACAATCGTAGTACCTTTACAGGCTTTTCATTTTTTTATGTGTAACCGTATGCGTATTCTTAATCAAAACTGGAGCTTTAGAAGAGGTCATACTTTCGCATTGAATATCGCCAGAAGTGCAGGGAAAAGCCTAAGATTCAATTGGACATGAAGTGCCAAGACAATTAAATTTAACCTTTTCCCTTATATGAGCGTGTTTCGACGGCTTTTTGCCCCCCCCCCCTTTTTTTTGAGGCCTCAAACGTTGAAAAAATGCCATATTTAGACCCAGAACACTGTTTTTCGTTTGAGAAATATTGTTAAAAAAATTGAGCACTTTTTCGGCGCAGCCCCCCATCTAAATGTTACATCAGGGGGTTGCCAGAAGGGGGATGTGCCCCCTTCTGTTTGGGGGGTGTGAAGTGGGGCGGAGTCCCCCTCATCGCCAAGAAAATTTTGGACATGTGACAGGCTAAAAATGGCCTCAGGTCGATCTTAGGATAATTAGTAACCGACGCTGAAAAGCCTTTTACTCTATCTCAATTCATTGAGAAGTTGCAGCACTTTGAAATCAGTTTTGATGGAAAAAACAATGCAAAATTGTGATTTTTGACAATTTTGAGACGTCCCCCCATGGTAACAGGAAATTTACGATTGAGCATGCTGTTAAAGAGGCTATGGTCTCTTCAACATTTGTACCAAGTTTCATCAGCATTGAAGCATTTTTCATAGTTTCATAGCAGTTTGAACTTGTTACAGGAGGCTTTTCAATGAAAATGGCTATTTTTCGCAATATGCTCAAGGGGTAAAAGGTTAAGTATGTAAACTTATTTTGAAACTAATACATTGTTTCCTAATAAAAATGAAATATTTCATAATTCTCTTTGATAATTTGTGACTTGGATATTTGCATTCATAAACAGTGTATTTCAGTCCTGTGATCAGCAGAAAATTTCAATGAAAATGGGGTACTATAATGCTCTTTAAAGTAATTTTGCAAAAAAACAAAAAATTGGTTGGCTACCCTTATGTAATAAGATTACTTTTATGTGTCAGGCATTTCATTCTCCTAGAAAAATCACCTCTTTATAGGAGGAAAACTCAATGTTAAGTTTGGATTAGGGACCATTTCTCATAATGCAAGTCTATGGGAAAATCAATGCGAGCGTTTGCCAAAGATACGCGACATTATTGTTTCATCTATTTATCAAAACTTGTCAGACTTGTCAATTTGTGTACATAATAGATAACTTACAAAAAAGAACTACAGTTAACTTACTAACATTCTTTTTGCAATATAAACGTGGGCGATATAGCCTTATTTTTTTCTTTAAATTATTTATTTACGTACTAAGGTTTCAATTTGAAAGACATATTTTTTGCTTCTTCTATATCAAATTTAGCTATTGGTATGATGATTGTTTTATCTTGTTTCATATGGTAGTCATTGAAATTTTGTACGTAGGTACCCGTTTAAAAAGTCATTAATATGTAACATAAAATCCGTTTAGTACCCAAAGAGAAAAAAACAACAAATACACAGTTTCACAGTTTCATTGCCAAAACCTAAAGTAATTACAGAGGTTTCGAATAAAGTTCGTTCCCATATTTATGAATAAAGCAAAATCTTGCAAATAAGTCAATTTCTTAAACATAACGAAATTGTTAAATTGAATTTTCTGTCGGAAGTTTCGTTAAAGATGTTACATTTTCCCCAACAAGATAACCGCATTTTCGTGTATATAATTTCGTAAATACACTTACCATTTCACAGTTAATAATTTTCTGACATTGTGCTCATAATTACCTTAATTTCATGTTTATTTTGATGCAGAGCTTTGGATGTTAGCAATTATGTAAAGCTGTGATCTGCTGTAGCG